CGTATGTCGTCAGATAGTTTGGCATTCAGATGAATTTTGTTGACCTGACTGTTTGAAATTCCACGCAGGTTCCATGAATTTGCAGGAAATTCGACTGTGAAAATTTTCGCGTGAGAATAAATAGCTTCACATACATGAAGGTAGCTTCCAACTTTATTCGTTCGAATATTAGTGTCTGCGTCTATACTTTTACAGTAATGCATTCATGGATTAGTTGTTTATTGAAATTGTGAAAAGTTGATTAGCCTCGGTGGAATTCGAACCTACGCATGGATGCCACTGTGGCGTGCACTCTGTACCAGATGACGATAATACTCCAGTCGTTCTCCCTACACGCTGCTTTAGTTCCCTTTGGTTCACAGTATTACTATTTATTTCAACTCAGTTTATTAAGATCTCTCAGTCTCACATGAATGTTAAAAAAGAAAGATTTCTTCAATGTCTTGTCGAGTGAAGGCAAAGCTTAACGGAAAGTACAAGGAAGCACTAATTTATTGATGTTATGTAGAAGTAATGACAGGTAATAACATCCAGCAATATAACACTGAAATAGACTTGTGTTGAAGTATAGTAATCAGAGCGAGAGAGGGAAGGAGCTCTTCTTATCATTCAAACACATTGTGATTTCCCTTGAGCCGCATCAGATCCCTAATAAATATCTTTATTTCATGTGACATCAACTCACTGTCCAAATGCTTACCATAAATGAGGAAAATATCGTTTTTCTTACTTTAAAAAGATTACCAATGTTTGATACTGCATTCATATTTATCATTCGTCCTCAAATATGATGTTTTTTCATACAATGAAAGTAACTTTCAATACTCACCAATTCTTTTGAATAACGAGATAATTGGTTGTTAGCACGGAAAATAAATTACCAAAATGACTAATTTAGGCTCATTTTTGGGTAGGCTTTTAGAAGAGATTTGAACCCGCAAAGAAGAATGGGGGACACCAGCAGGTTCGGTCAATAAATTACTTCCAATTTGTAAATATATCAATAAGTAATTTGGACGAAGCCTTTATTTTACGGCTGACACTCGATTTTCTGTAGATTTTCAGCTTGGTCTCCAATCCCCTTCAATCACTTCACAGAACCGAAACAAAAAATAAAAAAGAATACCGTATTTTCTAGATGTATGACTCGCTGGCGTTGCGTTCACGTCTCAGCGCTTTCATCCCGCGAGGTAATGGTACTTGTGTTGGAAGAGCGAGGATGCTTTGGATCGGGTGGACATGTTTTAGAGTATCAGTAATTACAAGCTATCGATTGCTCAATATATTTGAGTGTTGGGCTAGAACACCAGTTGATTAGTGCGTTACGCAATAGGTAGTCACCGGAAATATATTTATTCCCTTGATTTCAATTGTCTATCGTTTGGTATTCATTAAATCCTTGGTATTTCTTCAATGAAATCACTATTGTACACCAACCTGTTATTCACTCAAAACTTCCACTACCTGATGCCACACAATCCGGATTTTTACGATGGTGTGCTAATCTCTGAATGCTGACGCCAAAATAACGAAATTTAGTTA